AGAGCAGGTAATGTGACGTCAAATCGAGAACAGGAAAGTCTGCATTTCACACATTTTCACTTGTTTGGGAAGGTTATCGTCGATATTGTCCCAAAATATGCCGACTAAGTGTGTTGTAGGCGGATGTAGCAATGTGCAAAATTTGCAAGAGGGTATTGCGCTTCATTCATTCCTTATACAACATACCTAGTGTGCATATTTTGGACAATATTGATGACAACCTTCCCAAACAAGTGAAAATGTATGAAATGCAGACTTTCGTGTTCTCGATTTGATGTCACATTTCCCACTAGTGCCATTCCTCTTTAAACTCGGCCATGGGGCAAGATGGCGGCCGATTTTCCATATTTTGACTGGGCACAGAAAATTAAAGATTTGAGCAAATTAAAAAATTTTTGCACAGAAATACTCCAAAAAATAAGTTTATTTCGTTGAGCGGAAAAAAATTTTTGGGGTTTCAGTGCACTTCAACCAAGATAGTCATTTTGCATCAAAGATTGGAGATTTTCTATCAGATTCATGTATACTGTACACAGAATTCAAGAGTGGATTTTGATGCCCTGAGCTTTTTGGAATTCACTCCCTTGATCTAATAATCCATTCTCTGTACATACTGTATATCACACCTTTCTCATCATTATGGCTTTGAGAATTTGATGCTTAATGAAATGCCAGCCAATAATCAATTTTCTTCTCTCTTTCTGTCAGATGTGCTATTACATTCTTGATTTAAATGTGAACCCACATGAGGCTGCTTAATGGTAAAGTTTCATTCAGAAATGCACCAAAAATAGCTTGCAAGTGTGAATCAAAAAAATTTGGGGAGCAAATTTAAAATTTTGCATAAATTATGTGCACATAGGTGCAAGCTTAACAAATCTGGCTCATTAGTATACATGAATTAAGCCTTCTGTTTTTCTGTTGTTGATGGATTATTTTTTTAAAGATTAGGTCACGATGTAATAGCATTCAAAAATAGTTACCAAGGACAAATACCGGTAAAATTGTTCACTGCAATCACTGTGCAAACTGATCTTCCTGATATATTAGGTAATAATTACATTTCTATTTTATTCTTGTAGGGGAGATTTTTATTTGTGAAGTACACAACTTTTCAGTGATCGCCTTAGTGCATGGTATAAACAATGAACCATATGATGTGTTTGGAACATGGCTGTCTGAAAGGTGTTACATCTCAGGGACATTTGAATTTATGGAACCTGAAAATGATGGGTCGTCAGTTTCTGAGCTTTGGGCAAATTATGTGGATGCATCAACTGAAAATCAAACAAACCTTGCTCAAATTCTCAATCACAATTCAAGCTCTGTTAGGACTGTTCTAGTGGCTCGGCCAAATGCTAATGCTTTACCACACTCGTATACTTCTGCAACAATGAAGAAAGAAGAGGATATCTGCCTAATATTCACGCATGGTACTGTGACCTATGTTCCTCATCAGATAGTTTTCAAGTGGGTAAAATTACCAGAGGGCATTAGAAGTAACTTTGAGCAAAATACAGGAGTTTCTTCTGAGGGATATGAACTTTTTACCAGGAAAGACCACTGCATTGAAACAAATGCACATATAATCGGGATGAGCTTATCACCAGACCAGCAGTATTTGTATGTGAATTGTCGCATGTGGGAGCAGCCAGCTGGCATTGCTGTTGATGAATCAGCCCAATTTCCTCCAGAGATTTCTAAAGATATCACCTTGCAGGTTTACAGCTTATCCACATATAAACTTGTTGATGTCCACAGTGGCCATAAAGCATACACTGCAAATAATGGCTGTTTCTTCATTTTTCTGAATGTTGCGGACCAGCTGGTTGCAAGGTAAGCTACAGAATTTAAAATGTAGATTAAGTAGTTAAGGATTGCAAGAATAGAACAAACCTAAGTGCCCATTAGATATGAAATCATGATTATGATGCTATACCACCAAGCAAACAGAGACTTCATTCTTGTTGCAACAATTTAAGGTAAAACACAGATGTTGATGATAAAATTGTTTCACTGGCAACACAATAAAATATGCACATACCTCTAAGATTAAGTAATGCCCAAAGCATCCCCAACGTTGTGCAGGGTATACATGTGCTCGGATAAGAGCCAGCCATTGAAGAGCTACATGTATAATTTGCATGGGTTGCTAGCTACTTATGTGGTAAACTAAAGATGTGGTAGAGTAGGCTGTACTGACAACACTGACTGAAAAAATGAATAAGTATGTGCCAATTCCCACCCCATTTAAGTCTACTCCATCACCAATTATGGACCCCATCTTTTGCCTATATTTCTACCTGATAAAGCATTCTATGTAGGTCATCATAAAAAGAATTCACACATTTGTTAAACTGAATGTAGAACACTAGTTTTCACCTACAGTTGAAACGTTTTGGTATACATACATTTGCTAGCCATGAATATTTACAAACACCAATTTTAAATCCCTACTTACCAGTAGTTTCTTATCCCCAAAATCCTGAAAATGTGTGACCCCATTCCAGTAACTCTATTGAAAAAAAATGTGACCCTGTGATTTTTAGTACAGTTGTGAAAATTCAACCCCATCCAGTGGCACATTCACATTAGCCTATTACCAGGGAGTAACCCCACACCTCCAGCCCTTCTAATATACGAATCACCTAGGTTTTATTACTCTTAATTTTATAGTGGAGCAGAGGATCATTGTGCTCATGTGTGGGACAGACACTTTGGAGCCAAGCTGGCCACTCTGGAGGGACATAACAATGTAGTGAACTGTGTTGCATTTAACCCAGTTAATCAAGAAATGGTGGTCAGTGCAAGTGATGACCACACAATCCGAGTATGGAAGTCACGACATTTGTCTAAGTTGTATAAGGAAGCAGATCTGGAAGAGCAAAGTGGAGAGGTCAGCTCTCTCTATGAAGACATTTTACGAGAGACAGTTGAAACAGTTGTGTGAACAGGATATTTTCGCACTAAGAAACATTCAAACCATGACCTTGATCCAAAAGCTTTTATTTCTTCTGGCAACATATTATCACAGGCTGGGGTATCTTTTAGCCATTGATCTGCACCTTAAACATGAGCATTGGACACATTCAGTGGCAGTGAATGAACAAAGTGGCTGAGGAGGCTTTTAACATTTTCTAAATGACATGGGATACAAAGGGAAAACATTTGTAAGACAACACAGAAAAATGTAGGAGATACTTCCTAGAGATACTTCAAGAAACAGACATTTTACCAAGAAGGGAAATGCTTGCCAAGGTTCATGATGAACCATCAGCTCTCTTCTTTGCAAAATGTGAAATATTTCTTTTTTGTGGTTGGTTTCAAATTTAAAAGGTTTTATCTGCAGAATACAAATGATGGCAATGAGAATGCACACCTGTAGGATTCAAGTAATATTTGTATTTGTAGGCCTGTTTGCATTTTCAAATGAAAATAAACGGTAGGTAAAACATTGCAAGTTTAATACATTTGTGGGGTGTAGTTGAAAAAAAAAAACAAACAAAAAAAACAAAAAAAACATGATTTTCAAGACTGCTCTGATTAGGAAGGACTAAGATCAAACCAATCAGGCTGTTGTTTGAGGCAAGATTAAATCACAAAAACATTAACTGGTTTTTAGAGCAATTTTCAATAGATTGTGTTTCCTTTATTGTTGTTTTTTGTTTTTTGTTTCGTTTGTGTTTAGTACGGTTGAAGGGTTTCCAGTGGCTGTTAGGTATGTTCGTTAACCATTCATTCAATCGAATCAGGAACATGCAAGATTATACGCCACGGATGGAAGCAAAATTACCAGTAAAGGCTGCCCTCGATTAATCCTCGCACCATTTCAAGAGAATGTACCTGTGCGTCAACTCGCTAATCAACATCATCCCTTAAAATTTATATTCAAAAAGCGAGACATTACAACATTAAACAAGTTTCTGTTTCACACAATATTTGAAAATGATTTGTCGGGATCGTTGGTAGTTGTTTGAGAAATACGACTTAAAAATAAACTCCGCACGCGAATTACTGCCGCCGTTGAATAGACGCAGCATCGGAAACGCCGTATACTTAATATACGCTGTGCCGTTTGATAAAGCGAATACGCGTATATCTGGTGGAGCTATTCAAAATCCAGATTAACTGGAGCTCAAGCTCTCATATTTTCTGGTGATTTGGTCATGATTTGTGCGGTCTTCCATTTATCTAAGTAAACCTGTCTTCTTTTAGAATATTTAGCATATCGAAGCTTTAATTTTTTTCCATGTTTTGCCTCGAATTTACCACAATTTTAAAGCCAATCTACTATAGAACGCGCTCAAAAAAATTTTATCAAGAACTATTTGTTATCTATAGTCACAAACAAGTGAAATAAATCAGATCTTTAGAGTAGACTCTTTCAAAGAAGTATCTTAATTTTACGGATCAATTTCGCCTGCATGATTTTAATTGAGATTACCAATTCCAGTTTTTATTCAGAAAACGCGATTAAACGCGATATATTGAACGAAACATAATCTTGAAAAATAAAGATATGCGAGAACAATGCAAAGTGGAAGAAGACATGAAGATAACTTTAAACTTGAAAGAACTTGTGTAAACACGCGTAGATCTTATACAATACCGTCATTAATAAAGCATAACTTTTAAAGAGATTCACAGATTACAAGCTTTGTACAGCAACAGAATGTAGGGCTAAGTCTTAAAACCACGGAACAGAGCGAAAATTTAATTTTTATTGTGTCAAGGTAAATGGCGCCAGTCAGTAGGGACATTCTGTAATTATAATTTATCATAGTTACAGTTAACAATGAAATAGTCTTTTGACATGTGCACATTGAAAACTGGTTCATCGATAATTAATCATAACCCAGGAACTAATAGATTTAGGAGCAGTCAAACTTCCAAGGGCAGAATCTCAAAAACGGATGACGACGAAACAGAGTACCAAAACACTGTGCTCTGCTAGATCAAGATCGGTGATAAATTGTCTGCGTGATGGCTAACAAATATATGAAAACACTTACAAGAGGCAAAATCTCATCATTTCCCATAAAAGGCATTGTTTAAATGTGGTTTTGCTTCATTATGTAAGCGATACCAAGATAATTACACCGCGAGTTCTTACGATCGATTCACAGTTTCTAAGGGAACGACCAGTGTGTCTTAAAATTCATCGCTCGTGTAAAAGGGTAACACACGGCGAGTAAGATGTTTCACAACAGCAGATATGGTTTGACGGTTCATCCAACTCGCGTTGTTTGCTCTCTGTGCTCCCTGCCCGGGAATCGCCGCATACCCCTTCAGCCCTGTTGTGTTTATCCGGGGGAACTGTACCCCGATTCCCATGTGGAGTTTCCGATAAATCCTGTACTGGCTGTGCGTTCACCCTCGTATAGCCTCGCGGCGGACTCCCTCAATATGATGCGTACGTCGTCTCGTCACTACCAGTCGTATACTATTCGCGATAAAGATCAAGTACAAACTGCAAGGGATACCGAAAGGGAGGCAAATAATTCCAACAGTGGTAGGCTCAAAACTGTTACTTTTAAATTAGTTCCTGGCTTTAAGTCTAATTTTTACGACTCGTGTTATTCATTAGCAAGTTTTCAGCTTACGTCTTTGCTCTAGAGGCGACTTTTATCCTCAGTCAAGAATGAATTTAATAGTAAGGGTATGACCTTTTTTGAAAAAAAGTCACTTTGAAAGAGATACTAAAAAAAATCTCCGTTATAAGGTTTTCCAGCGGATTAACAATTAAAAGCTTCAAAAGAAAGCGGTGATTTCATGTTTTGTATACATTGAAGAACAACAAGAACAAAAACGAAACAAAAAACCAAAACCGAGAAACCAAGGAAACTTGGGGAATCATGGATTTAAATAAGATAAAAAAAAAAAGAAAATAAAAGATTAAAACAAAAACTGAAGGGGAGAGATAAACGTTCTCGAAGACATTACTTTACAAATCAACGCATTAAGCTGCGAAATTTAAAAACATTACACGTGTATTTGTAAAGTACAATATAATCAAAAAGACAGAAAATTTGCATTGTCCCTGAACAATGCACGAAGTAGCTTTTAAAGCTCTTCTAACTTTTAATTTCGAAGTTGCGAGTGTAGATGACAAAAAGCAAGCGCGGGAAAATTGAGTAAGCCAGCTGAAACGGATCTCTCGTACAGATTGAATGGTAAGGCAGACTAAGCGCTCGGTGATCTATCGTAAATTTGAAAATGACTAAAAAAACTGTCCTGATCGGCGCTGTAATTTGGCTTTATCAGCTGAGTTGATAATGAACATTTGCAACCGTTCATCAGAGCCAAAAGACGAAGGGCTAACTCATTTTAAGGTGGCCAATTTACGTTTTCATCTCAGGGTAAAACCAAATTATCTTGTAATACCCCCCACTGACGCAGCACCGCAGTTATCTTTAGAAACTACCCACTTTATTGATTGACAATGTGTCTGTATGTAGGTAGAGAGGGTTTTAACCGACAGCAGCGTTTCAAGAAAAAGCGCCGCAAGCGAACCATTTTCACTTGTGAACAATTGAGTCGACTGGAATCGGAGTTTGCTGACCAGCAATACGTTGTGGGCGCAGAACGACAGCAGTTAGCGGAGGCGCTGAATCTTTCAGAGACACAGGTACGCATGGGTTTCTCTAGTTTTTACAAGGAAAAATCAAGACAATGTGCGCAGTTCAGGTCACACCAAACAACTTTTTACCTCTATGGCTCTTTATTTCTCATGTACTCAGTATCCACGGCGCCATACTCAAACAATTAACAAAAGCTCTATCTGAACAACAGCAGAACGTTATTAACTAATGTACAAGCGTAAATTTCTAGGTTTTCCCCAGAGACTGCTCTATCGTCGATGTTTTTGCTCAGAAAAATTGTAACATCCCGTCATCCTTGATCAAAGCTATGAGAAATTTTGTCTTAAATTTCTCTCGATCATTCTTCAGAAAGCTGGTCCCTGAGGAGGAGAAAGGACGGCCTGATGAAAATAAACTGTATAATCCTGGCAGATCTTTCTCCCTCCTCACTCGATCTATGGATATGAGCGATCTTGTCTCATAGAGTAGAAGAATTGAACCCTCCATGTTGTCAGGTGATCCACAGAACGCATGTAAGAAGGCAAAAGCGTTCGGTCAAACGGGCCTCTTAAGAGCGTATGTACGTTTGGGCGTGGTCAATTAACACGCGCATAAAAAAAGTTCAGACACCAAATCTCATTAGAATGTGTGAATTAGTTAATTGTCTGCGTATTATTTTATTGTTAGTTCTAGAGGCTGTTTGATATGCATATGTAGTCTTACCGTATGTACTGTTGATGGTGAAAGTAATTGAGGTTTCGACAGTCTTACCAAAATAATGAAATCTGTTTAGGTTGTCAAAGCGTGACACATCGTCAATGACAACGGTCCTTCCCGGACCACGCTCAGACTATCAGAAGACACTATCCCGCACTGATCCTCTCCAACTTGCCTGTATTCAACTGTATTGTAGCGTAAGATTTCGAACGCGTTTAAGGTATACCTTTGGTCTAGCGTATTCTTCCTGAGAATGTCTAACGATAACCCTACGCTTGTTTTAATGAATTGCTTTGTTGCCTAGCAAACAACTAAGTGTATGTTTGTCTACATAATAAAACAGATTAAAATCTGGTTCCAAAATCGCCGAATCAAATGGAGGAAGGAGAACAAGCAGCATTTCCCTGATTTCCTTGTCGGTTCCTTCACAGTGGCATGCCAAACTCGATCAATTGAAAAAGAAACTTGGATTGACAAGGTTTAAAGGAATAAAGGAACTCATTCACCCCGCATGCACAGAAGCATAGTTAACAGTGTTCAGAAAAGCAGGAATGTGCAGAACTATATTTAAATATACGAGCTGACGCATTTTAAGAAAAAGGATAACATAGAAGCTTGTAAATCTCGTTAACTTTATGCAAAGGTATCTTATAAAAACAGTCTTAAAGTCTTTAACGTACCATCCTTGGGTAAATCAGGTGCGCTTTTTTTTTTAGCTAAATGTTTAGCAATAATGTTATCAATGCAAACATTACTGGCGTGATATATAACAGAAAAATAAAAACTGTCTCTTTATCAATTATTTGTCTGGAAACTTGCTTACTTTCAGCTTGTAATTCTAAATTTTTTAAGGGCAACGACGACTTTCAAACAAATATTTGTCACTCTGGTAAAACCTTGACTGAGTTAATTACAACCTCGAGAGGTTATGGTTATCATGCAATTACAACCTCAGGCTAGCCTCGAAGCAAAACATTTAAGTTTCCTTTGTTTTCAAGATAGCCAAACAGGACTAGGTCGTTTCGAGCTGGATGTCTTACTGAAAGGTGTGTTTTATCTCGTATCAGTAATATGTAGAAAGTCTTTTGGAACGATTTGTTTTCCGAGACGTCCGCGTGAAAGCCTACGCAAAACCTGAATTTCTCACAGTGAAAGTACCATCATGGTGGAGTTTGGTTTTTATCTAAGAAACGACCTCAAAGGTGAAAAGGAATGGTTTTTCCTGATCGAGAATTAACAAATTGGAGTTCTGAGAAAATTGAAATTTAGTTTCCGTTTAAAAATGAACTTTACAGGAATCAGCTCATCCCAGCCAGCACCCAGTTGTTTCTCCCTTTTTTTTTAAATTTCTTCCTAATCACTCTTAAATTTTTTCTTTCACTTATTAGTCCCTACTTTCACCGACGAATGAACATTTTAACGGACGAGGTACGTTGAAAGCTTTTGTACCTCTGAAGTTAGGGACTAGGCTGTATAAATAAGGGCTATCTGACATCAAGGGGGACTTCTACAGCGAACAAGAGTTTTCGTTACCTTTGTTCGCTCTTTTATGTCAAAACTGAAAGGTCATGAATGAAGCAGTTTGTTCAGTGTTTTTACATTACCGTAATCTGGAATCCAAAATACGAACTTAAATACTGTGATCGTCCTCCTTAAGTTATACCAAGAATTTTTAATCGGGCTAAACTGATCAATAAGTTAGAAATAACTGAGTAATTTCCGGGCAAACTTCAAGTCATACAATAAGTGATGAAGAGAAAGTTTTGATCGGTTTTGTTTTGTTTTATTTTTTTTTTTGTTTTTGGTTTTTTTTCCTTTTTCTGCATATGTTCATTATATCATATCGCCTTTGGAATTGCGCGAGAAATCTGGGCGCGAAAAAGCTATACTTTTTCGTGCCCAAGGCCCTGCCAGAACGAATAAATAGGGGATTCCTGTGGCCGAGACTGAGGATAGAAATACTTCCTGTTTCACGGCCCCAAGCGATAGTGACCGATACTTTCGCTTTTAAATTGATTCCAACGGCGGTCTCCGTGGAGTTGAACAGTTTAACTTGGCATAAAACTTCTCAGAACGACGAACAGGTTTGTGAGAAGGTTCTATGCTTGGAAAAATTTGTCATTATATGATAGTTTCTCGGTCTATTAGGCAATGTAAAGGCCGCAGATCGCTTGCTCCCTTTTTCGTCCGATGGAATAAAATTGCAGTTTGAAGTTTGTGGAAGCGAAATCAGCTTTCGTAACATTTCCCTTTTAATTCATTTTACGCTAACTCTTACGGAAAGTGGTCCACATTTTCATGGCCAATGATACCCTCTTCCTTTTAAAGATAAGTCGAGAATCATTGCACTCAAACGGCGCCGATAGCATTACCTTGTCTGCATTTAAACATAAACATCAGAACGGACAATTGTGACCAAATCGTTTCTTATCTGACGACTATATATAGAGAGAAATTTTCATATTGCCGATGTTAAGTCCATAGCCAACCGATTTTGTCGAACCAATGCATCGAAACACAAACGAGGCATATAATGTCACTCGTCTAGAATTAATTGCAGTCGAGGACTAATTGTTAGGTTGTTTCTCTCTACAGTTACAATCGATCTACTGAGCCTTGTTTAAACTCTGAAGAGCCTGATTAGATTCTCAGGTAAGGGATCTGCATTTTGTTTTCAAGAATTATTGTTGCACAACTCTTTCCTTACGAGTTAAATATGACTATTAATCCATGTAAATCGACCTAAATAGTAACTTCAATTTGATGAGTTACTAGTACTCAAAAATGCATCGAGCGAAACTTGTTTTTAAATTAACAGAAATTTGAATTGATTTAGCTACTGCGTGATTGTGTTTGTGGCAGATTGGCAACTAGAAATTTCCGGTAGATTTGTACCCGTTTCAATGGCTTTCAATCGGTATACTCTAGTACGAAAGTTTTGAATTAAAACCTTCTTTGTAAACACTACCGATTTCTCGGAATTCTTAAAATTGACTCTACAGCATTTCGATTAGCATACGGAATTTAGAACCCACCGGCCTCCAACTAAAAAAACCGAAAGCCTACAATGTAATGAACATCTTTACACTAAAAACAACAACTTCAGTTAGCGATCAACACCTCAAAGTGCAATTTTGTTTTAGATTACAATAATTTTCAGCAAATTGATCGTTGAGTATTCAAATGTCCGTTGATCACGAGTGGCACCAAGAGCTCCACGGGGTCATTCCAAGTAAATCGTCGAATTATCATTTTTCATGAAGCCAGCTCTATTCAGCCCTAGATCCATTTACGGAAGTACTTTATCCTACGAATGTATCTAAACGAAAAGAGTGATTTAGTATTCTAGTGTCTCAAAACGAAGAATCAAAATAGACAATTATTTAATTATTGTACGCGACAGATGATCTCTTCCTTCTACTTGAGACAACCTGGATACAGATTGTTAACATTAAAGGCCGGAGCTTTTTTTTATCCTGTCTAGCTCAGGAACTCTCCATTTGCTCTTTTTTGCTTCTCTTCAAATTTCAAATACTCAAAGCTGCCAGATATATTTTCTATCATATGTGTTTGAGAGGCGAAACTTTAGCTTGACCCTGAGCTGGACTATGGTCAACTGATCAATTATGCAAAAAATTGGCATAGTTCATGTTTTTGTTAAAGTTTGTCCGTTCTTTTCTTAAACGATGGCGGGAAGCTTTATGGATTGAATGTAGCTGTATTGTTGAATAAAGCCATTCGCGGGGACATCTATCACTAAGTTTATCAGTTGTCAGTTCGTTCTTTTTTTTGTTCGCTGAACGGGTGATACAAGTTCCTGTTGCCTAGCATTTAAGACTGTGAAGCACATTTATTTGTCACACAAAAGTCGTTTGGATGTGACGCAATTGTTCTAACTCACTGCACAGAAGGATGGAACTCGGAGATGCTTCACGTAGTTACATACAAGACATTATGGTAAAGTTCTATGTAATGCGTGTTCCGTTTTCTTAAACATCGTGGTTTATCAGATTTCAAGCTAGTTCAGATGCACGGAGTAATGGCGTTACGCCATCGACCAATTTGTTCGATGGCCTACTAATTCGAGATCTTAGGTTCAAATGATGCAGAACAACCTGTAAGTGACAACACAATTTACACGGAGATACAGAGGGTGAAATTTTGGAACAAGCAGTTACCGATGCAAGTATCAACAGAACCAAAAAAAAGTTTGGAAACATATCAAGCACCATCCTCGGAGACCCAGGGGCTGTGGGTCGATTTCAAGTTAGGGCATGAAGAGCCCCTGGGGACATTGTCTTACAAGACTAGTTCCCTCTCCCCCGTTGCCCATTTTTCCACTTAACACCTACTCCCTCGGCAAATATTTCCTCGCCCCAATCCTCCACAGTTACCAAATCTAAGATGGCGGCCTAATACGAAAATGTGCACTCGTGCGCCCAAAATACGCCGGCACTGCAGGCTACGTTCGCGGACAATCTGATCGATTTCTCCTTCATTGTGTGCTGAGACTGAAACTTTTCACCTCAAGCAAGTCTCCGTCGCCCGGTCCAAAAAAGCATAGTGAGCAATTGAGCTACTAGTATATGTCCGTGTTAAAACACACGAAAGGACTCTAAAGCACACTTCACTCTGATTGGGCAGAAAAATACAAAGATTTTCTAGTTAATCAGATGGCAGAACGACTGCGACCGTTTGGAACTAGTCTTGTAAGACAATGTCCCCAGGGGCTCTTCATGCCCTAACTTGAAATCGACTCAGCCCCTGAGTCTCCGAGGATGATCAAACACCGAAATTGATGTAATTATAACGAGAAAGAGAAAAAATACCAAAGAGGAGACATAATGGGCTGTCCAACTTTTTTAATCCAACTTTCACGCTGTAAGATTAAGCTTTAGCCTAGGTACTGTAATAAAACTCAAACGCTGCTAACACTCGTATAGTATTGGAAAAGAATGATGAAAGATGTATCAAAACTGGCGTCTCTGTCAAACAGTTAAACGAATCAGTGTGAGCGGCTGCGATCACGGTGTCGTCCGACGCGCAAGTTCCATGGCCAAGAAGAGGCAGGGAAAACACTCCACTATTTCTCGAGTTTCCCCCACACTTATTTCCTACTTCAGCTCTTCCTGCTTGCTCAGTACAACACAACAGAGCACTCTCGAGGCGTGTTTATTAGTTAATTATTTTCATTCTTGTTCGCAGAGGAATACGGTTTGGTTCTGCCATGGAAACTGTGGATCGGATACTAGAATCCTTGAGAATTTCCCAAGAAAAAGGGAATAAAGAAGAGGAAGAGAAATCCTATATCGATCTCGGTAACATTCATCTTGAATTGAAACGATACGAGAAAGCTGTGGAGTTTTATGAAAAAGCTCTTTCGATCTGCAACGAAACGGGACACAAAGAAGAGGAAAGACTTGTTTGCAGTAAGATCGGAATTTCCTTCGCTGCTCTTGAAAAATATGAGAAATCTCGTGATTACTTAGAGAAAGCTCTTGTAATCTGCAAAGAAGCTGGACATAGTAAAGAAGAAGGCGAGGTTCACAGTAATCTTGGTGACGTGTACCATGCCCTCGGTTTGCATGCTAAATCAATTGAACATCTTAACGCTGCTCTTGGGATAAGTAAAGAAACTGGCAGCACTAAATTGGAAGCCAAATTATACAAAAAGCTGGGTAACGCGCATTTCGATATTAGACAATATGAAGAGTCCATTTCCCATTTCCAGAAAAGCCTGGAAATTCGAAAAGCAATAAAAGACAGAGGTGGAGAAGGTCGCCTCTACAATTTACTGGGTTACGTTCATCGTGCCCTTAGTCAGTTTGAGAAATCCATCGAATACTATGAGAAAACTCTCGAGATCAGTGAGGAGGTCGGGGATAATAAAAGGAATGGGAACACTCACATAAACCTCGGAGATGTCTATCATGCTCTAGGCCAGTATCAAAAGTCAGTCGAGTATTTAAGAAAAGGTCTTCAATTGAGCAAGGAGGCTCAGAGCAAAGAAGGAGAAGGGAGGGCCTATAGCAGTCTCGGCCAAGTGTATCACGCTCTTGGTGAATACGACAAAGTGATAGAATGCTCGACAAAAAGCCTTGAAATAAGTTTAGAAGTGGGAGACAGATATGTAGAATGTACATCCCTCAGTAATATGGCTGGTGTGCACCATGTCCAAGGCCAATACGATAAATGTCTCGAGTATTATGAGAAAGCCCTGGAGATCTATCAGTCGCTCGGAGATTATCACGGGCAAGGAACGATTAACACAAACCTTGGCACTCTGTATTGCGCTTTAAGCCAGTATGAGAAATCCATCACGTGCTACGAAAGAGGAATAAAGATCTGCAAAGAGATAGGAGACAGACAAGGAGAAGCAAGGGCTTACCTTAACCTAGGCAGAGTTGAAGAAGTTATTGCTAATTTTGATGAATCTCTTAAATCATTGCACAGATCTCTTGAAATCAGTCAAGATATCGGGGACCAACAAGTCGAAGGGGCGTCTTACAGCAGCATGGGTGGTGTATACAGTTCTCTTGGTCAGCTCACCAAATCGATAGAATGTCAAGAGAAAGCCATTAAAATCTATGAGGCGATTGGAGAAAAGCAGGGACTGGGAGAGTCTTATAACAAAGTTGGCAGCGTCTATAGTGATCTTGGTCAGTTCCAAAAGGCACTGGAATACTACGAGAAAGGTCTTGAGATAAGAAAAGCTATCGGTGACAGGCAAGGAGAAGCTGCATCCTACAACAATTTTGGCAGTATCTACTACGAACTTCGACAGATGGAAAAAGCAATTGAGAACCACGAGAAAGCATTGCTAATTAGAAAAGAGATTGGAGACAAACGAGGAGAAGGTGTATCTTGCAACAACCTGGGCAGTGTATACAACGATTTAGGCCAATATGAGACTGCAATCGTTCATTTCAGAAGGAGTCAAAAAATAAGTTCGGAGATTGGAGATAGGCCAACGGAGAGAGTTTCTTACATCAACATAGGCAACTTGTATTCAGCAAAAGGCCAATATGCTGAGTCACTAGAGTGTCTAAAGAAAGCGCTTGACATCAGCATCGCTATTGGAGATAAACCAGGAGAAGCAGCATCCTTAAGTAATCTGAGCTCTGCGTACTATGCTCTTCGAAAATACGGTGAGGCGGCAGAGTATCAAGAAAAAGCATATGAAATAAGGAAGGTCATTGATGATAAACGTGGAGTGGCTGTTTCGTGCATCAATCTTGGAAATCTTTATGCCGCTCTTAGTCAATATAAGAAAAGTATCAAGTATTACTTGGAAGCCATAGAGGCCAGCGAAGCTACAAATCAGAAACAACAGCAAGGAATATTGTACAGCAATCTTGGTCGTGTATATGGAGCACTTGGGCAGAAAGAACGCTCCAAAGAATGTCTCGTGAAAGCAATTGAAACCAGTAAAGAGGTTGGAGACAAAGAAACAGAAGGCATGTCCTGCAACATCCTGGGAACCAAGTGCTATGCCCTGCGCGAGTACAACGAAGCCCTCAGCTATTTTGAACAAAGTCTTAGGATAATGGAACTTCGCGAGGACAAAGAAGGGGAGAAAACAACTTATCACAACTTGGCCACTGTGCACGAGGCTCTTGGTCAGATTACAGACGCCATTCAGTGTCACGAAAAGGAACTCAACATTATCACAAAGCATGATTTTGGCAAGAGGGAGGAAGAGGCGTCATGTAGCAAACTCAGCAGTCTTTATAAGGCCCTTGGTCAGTATGAGATGTCAATCAGCTACGGGGAGAAAGCCCTGGAAATCAGTAAAGCTCTCGGCGACAAACTAGGCATTGGGAAAGCGTACGAGCTACTTGGAACTGCCTATCATTCTCTCCGTCAATACGAAAAGTCCATCGGGTACAGGAAAATGGCGATTGAGATTAGTAAAACTATCGGTGCCAGAAAAGCTGAGGCAAGATCTCACAGCCAACTTGGACACGTTTATTACGACCGTGGATTCTTCGAGAAAGCTATTGAAAGTCATAAAGAGAGTCTCGAAATCCGAAAAGCTATAGGCGACAGACATGGCGAACTAACCTCACACAACAACTTAGGAACTGCATACTACGCACTCGATCAGCTTCAAGAAGCCATTGAATCTTTCCAATCAAGTCTTCAAATAAGTGAAGAAATCGGGGATAAAGTTGGAGAAATAACAGCTTGCAACAACCTTGGTAATGTGTACAATCTTCTCTACCGTCATGAAAGAATGATTGAATATCAGGAAAAAGCACTTACAATCAGCAAATCTATAGAGGATAAACAAGGCGAGGGAACGTCCTATAGCAACCTTGCCATTGCGTACCACGCAATTGGTGAACTTGAGAAGTCAGTCGAGTACGAACTGAAAGCATTGGCGATCAATAATGAGATTGGTGATAAACTACGAGCAAGCATTTCCTACAACAACCTTGGCAGAATATATTACATTTTTGGAAAAAACAAGGAGTCAGTAGAGTGTTTCAAAAAAGGGCTCGACGTCAAGAGAGAATTAAACGAAAGAGAAGGTCAACGGTGTTGTCACAGCAGCCTTAGCCTTTTGTTCAGTAACCTGGGCGAGTATGAAAAGGCGATTGAACATCAGCAAGAAGCTCTTGAGATCTGCGTGGCAACTGGCAATAGGGAAGGCGAAATACTATCCAATGAAGCCCTCGGCACTACCTATTACTTGTTTGGTCAGTTCTCCCAATCAATTCCATGCCAGGAGAAAGTACTGGAGTTGAGCAAAGTAGCTGGAGATAGAAAGAAAGAGGGAACAGCTTACAGCAATTTAGGAACCATCTATCATGCTCAGAAGGAACTTGAAAAAGCAGCTGAGTATCAACAAATTTCGCTTGCCATCTTCGAGGAAATTGGCGATAAACACGGAGAAACCTTATCGTGTAACAATCTTGGTAGCATTTACTGTGATCTTGGCCAACATCAGAAGTCCATACTGTATCACGAAAGAGCTTTGGGGCTCTGTAAAGAAATCAGCGCCAGAAGAGGACAATTGCAGAGCTTCAAACGCCTTGGTACAGCATGCAATTTTCAGGGCCAAAGTGAAAGGGCTATTGAATATTACAAGAAAGGTCTGGAGTTAAGCAGTAAAATGGGTGACAAAAAGGAACAATGGGCACTCTACCAGAAGCTTTACACTTTATTTAATACACTTGGTAGGAAGGAGGAAGCTGATAAGTGCCAAGTGAAAGTAGAGCAAATCAAGGAAGAGCTTGGGGAAAGACCAGAAGAAAGAGAATCTGAACAAATTACCTCCCAGTGTGTATATTACGTTTTCGACCTTTATGAGAAGTCCATTGAAAATCAAGAGAGGCACAAAATGCGTAATGCCCAAAGATACGAGGAACATAATCCTGGCAAGGCGTCAATCAGGCACCACGAGAGAGAGATGGAGATAAGTAGAGTAACCGGCCACAAATCAGGAGAGGAGACTGCTTATCACTCACTCGCAAACACTTACCTGAATCTCGGAGAGTATGCTAAGTCCGTTGAGTATTTTGATAACGCCTTGAAGCTAGCCAAAACAACTGGGAGAAGAAGAGCCGAGGCAAAGTCATACAATGGCCTTGGAATTGTGTACCAAACCCTTGGTCAGCACGAGAAGGCAAAAACCTATCACGAGGAAGCGTTTAAAATTCAGCTCGAAATTCAAGACGAGAGTGAAGAAGCATCCTACACGAACCTAGCAGGTATATACCGTGAGCTAGGTCACTACGACAATGCCACTGAATATCAAAAAAAGTCCCTCAGCATCTGTATCCAAAATCACGACAGAGAGGGGGAAGCCACATCATATAATAACCTCGCTAGCATAGCCAATGCTCGTGGCCAACATGATGTCTCCTTAGACTATCACCAGAAAGCTCTTAAAATCAGGCAGGAGATTAAGGATAAACAGGGAGAGGGAATCACCTATGTTAACCTAGGAAACGTTTACTTCGCACTAAGACAATATGAAAAATCTATCAGTTACCTAGAGAAGGGACTTGAAATCATCAAAGAAACTGGGCTGAAGGAAAAAGAACACTTGATCTTGTACAGTCTAGGTGTCAGTCATTTTCACCAGGATAGCTTCACGAAAGCATCGGACTACTTCTTTGAAAGTATAAAAGGCCACGAAAGCATCAGAGAATCTCTCAAAGATGAATACAAGCTCTCATTAGACGAGCAACGAGTTTCTTTTTATAAGGGACTTCCCTTGTTATTACTCAACCTTGGAAAAAAGGGAGATGCCCTATGTGCAGCAGAGAAAGGACGAGCTCGTGCACTTGTAGATCTGATGTCAGTCAATTTCGGCATACAAGAAGTTGAAAACACAAGTGAATTTACTTTGAGTTCGATTACAAGGCTAGTGGAGAGACAGCAAGTTGATTTCCTCTTCATGAGCGTCATAACCAAACACATATATCTCTGGGTTATAGACAAGGTCGGGAAGATAAGCACCAACGCCAGTCTGAGAGGACCAGAGATTGATACCCCCTCTTTGAATGATTTGGCGCCAGTGACTTTGGAAGGAACAGAGATTGATACCACTGCTTTAAAAAACTTAGCGTTAAAAACATTAACATTCTTACCTGCAGACAACTAAGAAGAATACGAAGATCGGTCTTTTGCCGCGTTTTATGAAGAGGAATGATCGACAGAAGAGGCACAAAGCGATGAAGGCGACCCGTATTGTCTCCGTGGTAACGACGACGAAGAAAGAGAAATCAACTTAAAGAAACTTTACGACCTCTTAATTGGGCCTATCCTTGAATTTATCAGTGGTCCAGATATTGTCATCATCCCTGAGGGCGACATGTTTTTGATCCCCTTTGCGGCCTTGAAAGATCCCGATGGAAAGTGCATGTCAGAAACGTGGCGCATTCGGCTTATTCCTTCTCTGACATCCCTTCTGGTCATTCAAGACTCACCTGAAGAATACCATTCCCAGACTGGGGCATTGATTGTGGGTGATCCAGTAGTTACCGGGGTAGAGTTTGAAGGAAAGGTTGGAAATCTGCGACCTCTGCCGCACGCCAGAACAGAAGCTGATATGGTATCTCGTTATGTGACGGCACCGGTATTCAAACTTATTGGAGAGCAAGCTACTAAGGAGGAAGTTTTAACAAGGATCCAGGATGTAAGTGTGGTGCACATCGCCGCTCATGGAGATGCGGAAAGAGGAGAAATTGCCCTGACGCCGAATAAGCACACAGATGGAATTGCCAGAAAGGAAGATTATATGCTAACAATGGAGGATATAGCAAAAGTAGGCATAAGGGCCAAACTTGTAGTGCTGAGTTGCTGCAATAGTGGACGTGGCAAGGTACTGACAGCAGAGGGAGTTGTCGGGATATCTCGAGCCTTCCTTGGATCTGGTGCCAGATCCGTTCTGATGTCCCTGTGGCCTGTGAATGACGCGGCTACGAAGGCTTTCATGAATGTGTTCTACAGAAGTTTGATGTGGGACAAAAAAAGTGCAAGTGAGGCACTTAACTTGTCTGCAAAGAAATTGAGAGGGTCAGCACTCTATAAGCACTTTAAACATTGGGCTGCGTTTGCACTCCTTGGTGATGATATCAAGTTTGATTGACGGAAGGGATACCTGTAAGTAATAATTTAATAACCAATGCTGTAGCTGAATCAAGCTGAGTCAGGCTTAATCATAATGACTGTAACCCGGGCACAGTTGGAGTCTCATTTTCACAGAAATGTTATGAAAATATGCAAAACATTTTTTAACCTTTCATTAACTACTGAGTCTGTTAAAAAGTTAACAAAAATGTCCCTGAATGATTCGGACCTACAATTGACCATCCCGTGTTTATTACACTTTTTGCAGATAAAAGCACGAATGCTTCCTCTCAATACGCAAAGATCCCGTCTGGCAGACCGATGTACTTTATCTTCCTGACTCCCGGTGCGACACAGGAAAAAGCTGATTCAAATCTCAGGACATTTCGAATTCTCGACTTCCCCAAATAAACAATTGTCTTTTTTTATCGTTTTTCCTGACTTAGATCAGTAGAACGTAGCTAGTTCGTTGCGCTGAAGTATTCTTTTTAACCTGAGCGAGGAGAGAAAATTGAATAATGGAGGTTTATTTTTATCATCCGCTATCGCTGTTTAAAAGTGTGAAAATCCAATACAGTCGAACCTCGATTATCCGGACTATTCGATTATCCGGACTATTCGATTATCCGGACTATTCGATTATCCGGACTTTCTTCTCTGGTCCCAATTTTTTTCATGAATATTAATTAGTTGTGATCTTGAAAACTCAGAGTCGCAAATTAAAAAGCCCAATAATCCTTTCAAAAGACTGTTGAAACAGCGTATTATCCTGTGCGCTTTTCAAAATTC